TGGAGCTCCTCCCAGGGGTGAGGGAACCGGGTTGTGGTGCCGCCCCCCACCCCCACGACCGCCTGGAGGAGCCACTGGGGCCCGGGAGTGTGGGGCGGTGTGGCAGATGCATACTGTATGTACCTATAATAAATCTTTTGGCTTTGACGGTCCTTGCCGGTTTGTTCGCGTTCCACGGGCTGAAGCCTGGGAAGATAGAGGGGAAAGACTAGCTGACAGTGGTTCTCAACCTTCTGGCCCTTTAAATACAGTTCCTCATGTTCTGACCCAACCATAAAATTATTGTCGTTGCTACTTCATAACTGTAATGTTGCTACTGTTATGAATCGTAATGTAAACATCTGATATGCAGGGTGGTCTTAGGCGACCCCTGTGAAAGGGTCGTTCGACCGCCAAAGGGGTCGCGACCCACAGGTTGAGAACCGCTGCGAGCTGCATAGAACATGTAAATGTGTCCCCCTTGTGTGGACTCATTTTGGGGGTCTAAGCACGTGCCCCGGACAAAGCACCTAGATGCCATCCAAAAATGGGAACCCCGGAGAGGTGGAGGAACGTGTTGCTAACCCTCCCAACTAAACTTCCCCATGGAGCTGCCAAGTTCCACCCCATTCAGAACAGGAAAGGTGGGCTCCTTTAAGAAGGCGGAGAATTTAACTGCGACGGATGAGTGCTTTGTCCAATCGCCAACGTCTCCCGGAGTTTCTAGCCCAATGAGCACGCGGAGGGGGCGGGGTTGGAGGTACACCCGGAAGTAGGTGCTTGGGCGGCCGGCTCGCCCGGGGCCATGGCAGCCGCCGCGCCTGCAGCGGAGGGGTTCCCAGGCCGGGGTCCTCCGGGGGAGGTGATTCATCTGAACGTGGGAGGCAAGAGGTGAGTGTAGGAGACTCCCGAGGCCTCACGCTCGGGGGCGAGGAGCGGGGCTGGAGACTCGCCTCCCCCGGGGAATCCGGTCCGCAAGGATTGCTCCGCCCCCTCGGGAGGCGCGGGAGCCCCGACTGGCGCCCTGGGAGGGGAGGGAATCCACTGGGTCCGGGTGGGGGGCAGTGAACCACACCCTCCCTACATCATCTCGCATCCGCTCACATTCCTCGCACAGATTTAGTACCTCCCGTCAGACTCTCACCTGGATCCCAGACTCCTTCTTCTCCAGGTGATGGGGAGAGCGAGTTAGGGGCGGGGGTGTGGGGCGTGAGGAGGAGGTAGGGGGACACCGAACCCCCTCGCCCCGCAAGCACACACCCCCGGCCCGTGACACCTGCTCTGTGTCCCCTCCCTGTAGTCTCCTGAGCGGACGCATCTCGACTTTGAAAGATGAGACCGGAGCCGTGAGTAGGGCGAGACCTGAAGTGGGGTGGCGGGTAGGAGGGGCAGGATCTCCACGCAGCCCCACTCTTTGTACCATCCATTTTCTGCACCCCTTCCCCGCAGATCTTCATCGACAGGGACCCCACCGTTTTCGCCCCCATCCTCAACTTCCTGCGCACCAAAGAGTTGGACCCCAGGTTGGCATGGAGGGTAAAGGGTAGTCCCCCACCGTCCCCCCACCGAGAAATCTCTTCTTCCCTTCAGAATGTTCGCTTAAGCCCCTGGATCATATTTAAATTATGTCTTTAAAATCCCCCCCCACACACACACACACACTTTCACCTGTCAAATTTTGCCACCTCTTGGAATTCTCCGTGCAGTTTTGAAAACTTTCTCCTTAGGATTCTCTGCCCACTGTCACTACCCAGACACTAACCTCTAGTCATTTCTACTACCCAGGGGTGTCCATGGTTCCAGCCTCCTCCACGAAGCCCAGTTCTATGGGCTCACTCCTCTGGGTAAGTGGGGGCCCCATTAGCATCCTAATTGCATAGAAAACCAGCTCTAGTGAGCTCCCTCATCCCTTTCTCTCCGGAAAGAAGGTTGGGTCAGAGCTGACAGCACTGGATTTATTGGGCCCTGGGTTTCAGGGGAGCGGTGGTATTCTTTGAAGAAAGGTGGGGGAGGGCGGAATTGGCCTCAGTATCCCCAAGTCTCATCCTCAAGTCCTTCTGCCTCAGTTCGCCGCCTGCAGCTGCGGGAAGAATTGGATCGATCTTCTTGTGGAAACGTTCTCTTCAATGGTTACCTGCCTCCACCAGGTGGGCACTGCTAAGGGATGGGTGACTAGAAAAAAGACTACATTTCCCGTAAGGCTGCAGCCCTTGGGTGTCCGTGCTGTGAACCCTGAGACACTATGGGAGTTGTAGTTCTATATCAGATGCGGAGAAAGGAAGTAGGAAACAGCATTTCCAGTGAAGCCATAGGACCTCTTATCGCATGCGCCGGAGTGCGATGGGCGTTGTGGTCCAGGTTTGATTTTTTCTTTTTTTTTTTTTTTGTGTGTGTGTGTGGGAAGGCTTAGGAAGAACTGGGTCCTTGGCATGCAGGGGAGAACTATTAAAGGGGATTTATTAACTCATCTCCATTAGCCCTTGGTACAACCAGCCCACTGGCCATGGAAAACATGGTTATTGGGAACTGTAGTCCATTAAGCTTTGCTGATTGGTAGAAGGAAATGAGTGGGGAAATTCAATTTATGGCTTTATTTCCCTAACCTCAGTCAATACCTACTACCTTAATGAAGTTTGCCAAATATGAAAACCTATACTATTGTTTTCTTAACTTCACTTTACCCTGTTTTGTAAAAATTTATTTTAAATAGAAGCTTTATATCACTGCCTTGATACCATAAGTAAATGTGAAAATAAGGTCCAAACATAAAATGTCATTAAACTCTGGTTAGATGCTGTTGTTTACCAAGGGAACAGGCTTCCATTTTTAAAAAGGGAAGATTAGCAGATATTGGAGAAAATCAATATGACGGCATCACCAAACTGATTCTTCATTTGTGATGGGATGAATAAACTGAAACGGGAGTAACTTGCTATGTGATTCAGTTTCACTTAATGCCGTGTCCCCGTTACCACCTAAATTCTTTTCGTCAGAAGACTGTTCCGCACGTGGGAAATCAGTATCAGCCACACCCTGAGGGCTTGCGATGTGGCCTTTATTACAGTTACTACAGTTATTGTCACTCTGCCCTTCTCCCTGCCATAGTGTTCCCAATGAAGCGACGGAACCGGCACAGCCTGGTGGGGCCCCAGCAGGCAGGGGGACGGCCAGCGCCTGTTCGAAGGAGCAACACCATGCCCCCCAACCTGGGCAACGCGGGGTTGCTGGGCCGAATGCTAGATGAGAAAGCCCCTCCCTCCCCATCCGGTATGCTTCTGTCTCCTGGGAGGCTGGGACAGCCAGTGGGGCCCTGGTGACCCTACCCTGATCCTTGCTCTCCCCTCTAAGGGCTGCCGGAGGAGCCAGGGATGGTGCGCCTAGTATGTGGACACCACAACTGGATCGCTGTGGCCTATACGCAGTTTCTTGTCTGCTACAGGTGCTTGGGGAGGGCGGTGGCAGGAGGCTTTGAGCCTGTTGACGGGGAGGGCTTGGGGTGAGGGTTGATGATGCCCCCCAATCCTGCAGGCTGAAGGAAGCCTCTGGCTGGCAGCTGGTGTTTTCCAGTCCCCGCCTGGACTGGCCCATCGAGCGACTGGCACTCACAGCCAGGGTACTTGGTGGGGCTTTGGGTGAGCACGACAAGATGGTGGCAGCGGCCACGGGCAGCGAGATCCTTCTATGGGCTCTGCAGGCAGAAGGCGGTGGATCTGAGATAGGTATGGCACCAGAAGCCTCTGCCCTGCAGAATTCTCTTCCCACCTATGGTCTGTTAGATTTTTCTGCCCCATTAGCACTGTGGCCTGTTAAAAAAAAAGCCCCACAATACAGTTCTTATGCCCTTAGGAATTCTTTGCATTATTAGGGTGCTCCAACCCTTTAGAATTCTGTATTCCGCTAGAATTCCTTGACCTGGTAGAAAAATCCACCCATGTGCTATTCTGTCTTCTGTCAGAATCCACTGCCCTGATAGATTTCTTCGCTTTGTTGGAATTCTTCATGCCAGTGGAATCCCAAGCCTGTGAGACTCTGTGTTCCCATTAGAAATCTCTGACTTGTTAACTAATCTGTTCCCTAACAAGTCTCGATCCTCAGGAGAACCCCCGTAATTCCTTCTGGAATCCTCCATCCTGTAAGGATTCTGTGGCCAGCTCACTCCTCTGGCCCTCCGACCTCTTCCTGCCATGCCCCTCTCACCTGTGAAGCAGGGCCCTGGCTGAGCGCTCCTTTCTCTCAACAGGAGTCTTCCATCTGGGGGTTCCTGTGGAGGCCTTATTCTTTGTAGGGAACCAGCTCATCGCTACAAGCCACACGGGGCGCATTGGGGTGTGGAATGCCGTCACCAAGCACTGGCAGGTCAGAGTGCTAGCTTTCCTTTCCAGGGCATCCAGACTGTACAGACCCAGGGAAGGGTTCCTTTATGCCCACCCCACCTGGAGAGAGCAGCGAGCCCAGCAGGGGGCCAGAGCCTGGGTGTGTGTGTTAAAGGCCTAAGGAGCATCAATCCGTGAGGCCTTCCTGGAAGAGGGGCTGCCAAGCTCACAGGAAAGGGGTGAGTTTGGAAAGGAGAGAGGATTCTCCAGGCACTGGATGGGGAAGCAGGTGAGAGGAGATGGTGTAGGTGTGCAGAAGTTCCCCCTGCGTGTGAAACCCAGAGAGATGTGCAAACATCTGACATTCTCTCTGCACCTCCCCCTAGCTGTGTCCAAAATGTAAAAAAAAAAAAAAATACCCCTGCAGTATTGTTTTCTGCCAAAGTGTGAGTGTTTGAGAGAGACAGACAAGCAGAGAAAGGAGGGAGGAAGAGACAGACAGAGGGGGAGAGAACAGGCAAATGGAAAGAGAGGATGTGAGAAAGAGGTGACAGAGAGAGAAGGGTGGGCAGAGAGGACCAAAGCGGAATGCCTGTGGTAGATGAAGGGACCCAGAGAGACAGACGGAGCTGAATAGAGAAATGTCAGAGATAGAGCTGCGAGGAGAGGCCAAGAGACAGAAGCGCTGACCAAGAGACATTTAGAGACAGAGAGACACAGATCGAAATAGGCCTAGAGCGCTAGCAGGGCTGCAGAGAAACGGGCCTGGAAACTGTCGGTGGGTTCTGGAGCGGGAAGGGGAGGGCATGCCAGGAGTGGCCACTAAGAGCAAAGGCAGGAGGGATCCAGAGCTTCAGCCTGCCCTGCCTGCCCCCAGGTCCAGGAGGTGCAGCCTATCACCAGCTACGACGCGGCAGGCTCTTTCCTCCTCCTGGGCTGCAGCAATGGCTCCATCTACTACGTGGGTGAGCAGCTTCCTGCGAGCCTCCCCTGGGAAGTGGGAGAGGGGAGAGGCTGGGCGTCTTGAATAGCCCCCTCTCACCCTCCCCGCCCACTGTAGATGTGCAGAAGTTCCCCCTGCGCATGAAGGACAATGACCTCCTTGTGAGCGAGCTCTACCGGGACCCAGCAGAAGATGGGGTGACAGCCCTCAGCGTCTACCTCACCCCCAAGACCAGTAAGCTATTACCTGACTCCCCCCGCCACCAGCAGCCACCCCCGTCTGCAGCTGTCTCCCCACTGCTTGGGTAGTGTGACCCACTGAGACTTAACGGAAGAGGAGACAGACTTACCTGTCACTTAGTCATTCAGCAAATGCTCACCGAGCACCATTGTGTATAAGCACTGTTCTAGACAGTGGAACTGGCCGGCCTCTCCACCAGGGGCAAACCTGGCCACTAGGCGTCCATCTGTGGGTCTCTTTCCCATCTCTATGATTAGGACGTGATGGTTGCATGCCCGTAAAACAAAGAGGAGGCACGTTTTACAGTGGACGAAGCTGAATTCTCTCACTTGGGACAGTTTTTTTGTTTCCTTAACCTCAAATATGGAGAAATAGCTTGATTTTTATTTGTTGTTATTGAGATATCGTTCACATACCATAAAATTCACCATTTTAGAGTATACAGTTGGTGATTCTTTAGTAGATTCACAAGTTTGTACAACCATCACTCCTATCTAATTCCAGAATATGATTTTTATTACCCCCAAAAGAAACCTTGAACTCGTTAGCAATCGTACTTCTGAGAGCCTCTGGAAACCTAACCTACTTTCTATCTCTGGATTTGCCTTTTTCTCGACATTTCATGCCAAGGGAATCACACAATATGTGACGTTTTGTGTCTGGCTTTTTTCACTTAGCATAATGATTAATTTTTTTTATGGTTAGTGCCTTCTGGACCTTAAGATATCTTTGCCTACCCCCCAGGTTGTGAAGATTTCCCCCATATGTTCTTCTAGAACAGCCGTGGGCAAACTACGGCCCGTGGGCCGGATCCGGCCCGTTTGAAATGAATAAAACTAAAAAAAAAAAAGACCGTACCCTTTTATGTAATGATGTTTACTTTGAATTTATATTAGTTCACACAAACACTCCATCCATGCTTTTGTTCCGGCCCTCCGGTCCAGTTTAAGAACCCATTGTGGCCCTCGAGTCAAAAAGTTTGCCCACCCCTGTTCTAGAAGCTTTGTGGTTTTAGCCTCCACACATCAGTCTCTGTTTCACTTCTCCCAGATTGGAGATGGTGCAGGGAACTTGTCTGTATGGTGGAGGGTAATGGTCACAGTACATTTTTTTCTAGCAGGAACAGATTAATATTACAGCTAACTTCACAGCATGTATTCATGTAAGGCCCCTTTCTTTTTTAAAAGATTTGCCTATAGTTGGTATATAATATTATCTATACTAATAAAAACCTAGGTGGCCCTCGCGCCCTCACGTAACGTCCTCACGTCATCACAAGATGGCCATCAGGGGAGGGCAGTTGGGGGTGAACAGGCCAGCAGGGGAGGGCTGTTGGGGGCGATTGGGCCAGCAGGGGAGGGCAGTTGGGGGTGACCAGGCTTGCCGGGGAGGGCAGTTAGGGGTGACCAGGCTGTCAGGGGAAGGCAGTTGGTGGCCATCAGGCTGGCATGGGAGGGAATTTGGGGGCGACAAAGCCGGCAGGGGAGGGCAGTTGGGGGTGACCAAGCCTTCAGGGGAGGGCAGTTGGGGGCAATCGGGCCAGCAGGGGAGTGGTTAGGGGGCAATCAGGCAGGCAGGCAGGCAGGCAGGCAGGCGAGTGGTTAGGAGCCAGCAGTCCCAGATTGTGAGAGGGATGTCCAACTGCCGGTTTACTAAACCAGCAGTCAGACATCCGCTGAGGAGTCCCAGATTGGAGAGGGTGCAGCTGGGCT